GGCAGACATCAGCTGAAACATCAGAAGGTGATTTTAGCTGCTGTTTGTTCAGGCAAACAGCTGAAACATCAGAGGAAGGTGTTTTTAGCTGCTGTTTGTTCAGGCAAACAGCCAAAACATCAGAGGAAGGTGTTTTTAGCTGCTGTTTGTTCAGGCAGACATCAACCGAAACATCAGAGGAAGGGGTTTTTAGCTGCTGTTTGTTCAGGCAGACATCAGCTGAAACATCAGAGGATGGTGTGTTTAGCTGCTGTTTGTTCAGGCAGACATCAGCTGAAACATCAGAAGGTGATTTTAGCTGCTGTTTGTTCAGGCAGACATCAGCCAAAACATCAGAAGGTGATTTTAGCTGCTGTTTGTTCAGGCAGACATCAGCCGAAACATCAGAAGGTGATTTTAGCTGCTGTTTGTTCAGGCAAACAGCCGAAACATCAGAAGGTGATTTTAGCTGCTGTTTGTTCAGGCAGACATCAGCCGAAACATCAGAAGGTGATTTTAGCTGCTGTTTGTTCAGGCAGACATCAGCCGAAACATCAGAGGAAGGTGTTTTTAGCTGCTGTTTGTTCAGGCAAACAGCCGAAACATCAGAGGGAGGTGATTTTAGCTGCTGTATGTTCAGGCAGACATCAGCTGAAACATCAGAGGAAGATGTTTTAGCTGCTGTTTATTCAGGCAGACATCAGCCGAAACATCAGAGGGAGGTGATTTTAGCTGCTGTTTGTTCAGGCAGACATCAGCCGAAACATCAGAGGTAGGTGATTTTAGCTGTTTGTTCAGGCAGACATCAGCTGAAACATCAGAGGAAGGTGTTTTTAGCTGCTGTTTGTTCTGAGCAGAATAACAGAAAACAAGCTGAATTTTAGCTGTCAGATTATTCTTAGAAAGTCTTTGACTTTGAGGAGCTCAGATGTTTTGAGGAGTCTGTAAATAATCTCCTCAGTAAAGTGGAGGAGGTCTCAGCAGAACCAGAACCAGGACCTGAGCTCCCACACCAGCCTGATTATAGATTTGTTTATTGATCTTTCTGTTTATGTAAAAACACAAGAACTTCCTGTTTCCTTGTGGAAACTAAAGCCCGCTCCCTCTGGCCCGGCAGGAGCTGGACTCTGAGATCCGTAAGGAGGTGGAGGAGGCGGCTCAGTTCTCCACCTCGGACCCTGAGCCGCCACTGGAYGACCTCTGCAACCACATCTACCACAACGACGCACCGCTGGACGTCCGCGGGACACACCCCTGGTCCAAACTCAAGTCTGTCAGCTAGGCTCCGCCCACAAACACCTGCTGACCCTCCAGACCTGAGGAGTCCATCCAGAACCAGAACCCCAGCTCCTTACCTGGACTCATTTATTTATTTGTAGTTTTATAACTAAATGTAATTTATTCCTGTAAATAGACTCAGAACTTTAAAATTTATTTTCTGTGAATTAAGAAGCTGCAGACGCACAAAACTAAACTTTGTTTATTTAAGTTTATTTAAGTTTTAAAAGTCCAGAAACTCACAGCTAATAAAAAAAACCTTCCATCAGTGTTTCTTTAAGCTCTCGCTTTTGTTTTTAGATTTTTATTTAATTTCTGAAGAAGAAATGTGGTTCATATGATGGAAATGTGATGTAAATTAAAAATATGGACCAAGTCTGACTGGAACAAAACTTGAACAGAAAGTTTTAATATTTATTAAACTGAATGATGTGACTGAGACAAGATATTAAATAAAATATAACAAAGATTGTTTCTGCTCTGACTTCAGAAATGTTTAATTTTAAAACTCTTCTGTTGTTCTGTTCACCAGCAGGGGGCAGTGCAGGACAGCAGCAGGTTTCTGGGTCTTTTGTCAACAAGATAAATGATTTTAGAGGTGAATAAGATGAACATTAAGGTTTATTTAAGCCATTAAATCAAGAGTTAATTTTCCACTCAGGTTATTTTAAAGATTTAAT